ATGACAACCATACACTAAAATCCCAAATTGTTTTTGCGATTCTACTTATTAAACATGATGATAAATGTCTTTTTATTTCTACTTTAATCTCGAATTTTTTTTTCAATTTGTATGAAATGAAGTGGCAACGTTCAACGCTGCATTTTATTAGTTCTTTGACTTAGTCGGAAACGATCCTATTTCACTATTACCTTCCTATGTTAATATAGCATATGTGTTGTGTATCCTCCGAATTAGGCTGTTTGAGAAGAAATATTAATATGAAAAACGTCAAGCGTATGTGGTTGAGTAGCATGTTCCGAAATATTTACTGCTTTTTCCTCACTATCTATCTATGTATTGGATCAGTATATGCACCTTCTGCGAGGATACTGTAGCAAAAATCGAAACCGCTATATTGAGTGGTTGGTTCAAATATTTGCATCACGCTTTCACAATTTGTATTGTGTAATATTTTGCCTGGCCAAAGGCAGATAACATTGTTTAATTAAGCGTATTCAAGTCGCTCCGAAATACAATTTATACACTTATATAATTGTTGGAAATATATGCAATAAACATTGTCATGCTGATACAATCTGCTACGAAAGTTAGGATTCCTGAGGGAAAATTTTCTTTGAAATGTATTCACCTGATGATTGACTGTGATTGTTTAAATTAGACTTGATTGCCGTAGTAAATTTATATTAGAAGTAATATATATATCAAATTTGAGATATTTCATTCATATTATTTACAGTGCTTTTAACTTCGTATCATAATAAAACATCACATTATTTAAAATGAGATATAGTTTTTCAAATCAGCTTTCTAGCCCTACTTGCTACTTCAATCATGAGTTATGTTTATTCACCTAGTAGAAAGTCCTTGGTTTGTGCAAATTAATATTAAAGAAATCGCAAAGTGTTGCAGGGATAACGAGTTTAATATATATTTAAGCTTCTTATAAAAAATATACGTCTTCATATCTTCTGATTTATATAAGATAAAATGGTCATTTGAATTGAGTCCCGGTCTGGAGAATTCTAAATTTTTGTGTGTGAAATCAAAAATATGGCCAGCGACTTTTTAAGATTAAGTCACAATAGCCATGGCAAATTATCATTAAACCAACAAATTCACTTCACGATGCTTGTTTGAAGAAGTGTTAGTTTGTCCAGACGAAACGTTACAGAAACATATCTGTGGTAGCGTGCGGCAACACTCTTGAATCACTTGGTTCTTTGAAGATATATAATTTGATAAAAGTGGTGAAGAAACGCATAAGCGAATCGCAAACTTCTTCATCTCTGTTTACCTTCTTCAAGCTTTATATAGAATCTGTCAAAGAAAGGAAAACTGTTGGCAAATGGACAGATAGTTAGTTATGGTCAGTATATCATACGTCAAACATTTGACATTAATAGATAAGAAAATCTGCATATCGTCAGGATGGCCATATGTTCGAAAAGAAGACAACTTTTATTTCGAGTAGTCATTTGTGACCCAATTTCCTACCTTCAAGACTGCAGTTCATTTGCTATTATGAAATAAGAATATTTATCAGCTAAATTCACGGGTTTATTGGGCAGAGTTACCTAGTTGATAAAAGTTTTAGGCCAATTCTTTTATGATGCTCATTGCTCATATATCAGAAAATTGTATAATGAGAAGGGCATAAACAATAATCAGTAATTTTAAAAGGATTGAGAATACTTGCTGAAGTTGGGCCAGTATTTGGTATGTGTATAGGAATAAAAGAGTTTGTAACTGTGTCAGTGTGTATACTACGAATATTATACTGGTGAACACTTCACTGGAATTCCAGAAAAATCTTACAGTACTGAGTAAAATATTTATATCTGCTTAGCAAATGTCAGTTGACTGAAAAATAGATTTAATTTTGTGGAATCATTCTTTGTTCAAAGAACAGTGCGATGACTTTGCTGGACGTAACGGCCCAAGCACTTGGTGATGAGTTGATTTGTAATGGGATAAGAGTTCGATGACAATAACTCAATAGACGCTTCACTAGAATTACAGAAATAATACTCATTTAATGAAAATCTCTGTATAGCACACTGTAATATTGATTTTTCTAAATACGATTCATAAATACCGACGGCATTGATCAGAGTTCAACCATTATGTAATTACCTAATGCTTGATATTGATCGTTTTGATTATGACTTGGATTTTGTTTACAAACAAGCTAAAATGATGTTCAACTCTATACTTTGGCTGCTCTATAATGGCTGTTATAAGTTTCAAATATCATAAAACAGAGTTTCAAGCGTTGTTTTTCAAAGTAACAAAATAGCATTGAATATAATTCAATAAATAAATTTAAAACGTCTACTCTGATCTGCGACCTTATGGTATTATTTTACATTAGAGGAATAACATTTATATATATATATTAAACTGCAAGTCGTAATTTCTTACCCGCATTAAAGATAATATCACAGATATGTTATCTCAATTTCCGTACTGAGGTTGCGGAGTTATAAGTAATCTTGTCAATTGTATGCATTATATTCTGATTTTACTCACACTTGTTTGCCGTTCTTTAAAATTGCCGATTTGATTTTGTGTCACGAAAAGTAAATCCATTCATTTCTTTCTCTATTCAGTGGTAGTATTTTTTTTTCAACTCTCATGAATGCATGTTTCGGTTTTGTAAACTATAAATGACAGTAACAGGTAATGTATCTGGCAATTATAAAAACTAAACTAGTTACATGTAAGCATCTAGAAATTTGCTATCCAGTGTTTTGGAAAAGTCGTCAACAGCTTGCAAAATATTTAGTTGTGTAATTAGTCTCGAGAGACTATGATTGCAATATTGAAGAAAAGCTGGTAATTATTAGCGTCAGTTACCAAATTAGAAACGATAAAGAGTAGTAAGCAGCTTATATGGTGATATTGACTGGTCTGGGTGATTGATCTTATTGGAATGCTGCAATTAGGTTTTATACCTGTTCAGCCTCCCAGTAAATACAAATAAGGATTGCGAACCTTTTTTGATCAATGAGTCAAAAATTATATTTGTAGTATGGAAAAGAAGACTGTGGGTCATAGATATTTAATCAATGAGAAACTTGCTGCCTCATCTGTTCCGATAGCCTTATAATCCCGGTGTTGGTCTTGTGTAGTTTTGAGCATTAATCAGAAGCTGAGGCGATATCTGAGACTCTATTTTATAAATTCGTGTTCGAAAACACGAATTTGCATGCATATAAATTTTAAAGAAAATACATTTATAATGCTATTGTAAATCTTTTCGATTTTTAGAAAGAGCTTGGAGGGGATTTTACTCTAAGGGAATTGTATTTTTGATCGGCTTTCAGCTGCCAACCTGCTCCATTGTTAGTTCAGATTTTTGCTGTCTTTAATTAAAGTCTATAAAATTTTGTTTTTCGACCGGCATTGTAAGTGGGGAAAAAATAAACTGCAAAGTAGCATAAAGTTCTGGTTCCCAAAATATATTTTGCTGCCGCTTGCTCGTTGCACTTTTGGAAGAGAATCTCGGTAGCATGACAAGTTGCGAGAAATGAACAGATGAATTGTATGGCTCAATGTCTTTTTTATACCAACTCTCACCCTGTTCTTTTTAGTTCTGGGTTTTAGTCACCCCATATAAATCAAACCTGCTGTTAAATATGTCAGCTCGATGTGCCGCGGGAAATACCATTCAAATGGAGATTTGTGCCAGTGTTATGCTATAAATATTGTAACGCTTTTCGCATTGGTCTATCAAAGTAGTACGGGTTTATCATCTATTTTTATAACCTAAATGCTGTTAGTATGTTTTTTTTTCTGTACTATTTCGTGACTTGGCAGGTCATTGAAAATACGCAGTGGGTCAGTGGTTCGCCATCCCTGGTATATATGTTGTTGAGATCATATCTTCTGGAATGTATATTATATACGTAAACTTTCCCTGAAGTCTCGAAATACTTCATACCAAAGCACCGAAATGAAATTCACGATGTTTACTTTATTCAAAAATGTAAATTGACTTCGGATTACTTAGTAAGTCTTATTTAATTAAAATTTAAGTTATTCTTAGATGAACCATATCTGTCTTGAATTTGAAATACGAATAACTTTTAAAAATAGAATACCAAATGTAACAGAAATATTTTATCTCGGTGCGAATATTTGTACAGATGCATATGCATTATATATTCATGGGATATATTATGGAATACATTATATATTCATAGAATATATATATATATCTACAAGCACAATACAAAACCGGTTTTTGAAACCGATTGGAGCTGTTTTTAATAAGTTTAATGGTAAGCGTAGCATCCATTGATCAATTTTTTAGAATGAATAGGCACTGGCAAGAAGAAGTTGAGTGATCGAGTTTGCAATATCGAGCAATTACTCGATAAATATTTCGCACATTATAATTATTTCTTCGTCTCAGTGTCGAATGCTCGGAAGATTTCAAGAGGCTCATTAAGGACATAACAACACTTTAGTTATCGAATATTTGTCTTTTAGGCTTATTCTTGACCCTGACCTAAATCTTGACCTGTTGCGTGTACTCATGAATTCCATGAATTCCACGAAGGTGAAACGAAGGTCTGCATGAGCATACGGCCGGACAGGTTCCCCTGAGTTATATTTTCCTGTATCTGGAAGATTTCAGGACTAATTTTTTTTCATCAATATTTATGAAAACAGTACAAGCTTGTGGATCTCGAATAGTTTTTTCTAAAAACACTGTTCGTTCCAGTGATGCCGGCAGAGACAAAGACAGGTTGGTTTATTATGGAATAATAATCCACACAGACGGATATTGTTCGGTCAGAATTTGTTCTTACGAGTAAGTGTTATAAATATAGTATATAAGTATGAGCGTAATGATTAATATATAATATTTCAGAATAATATAACAAAAAAAAAATTCACTAAAACGATAATAAACCGTTCATAGTTCGACCATACCGTACCATATTCGTGTTTCAGCTAATTTCAATTTTTCTTGTTAGATTATTAAAATTAAGCCTAAATAAGGTAGAATTCGTATTGGTATTGAATTAGCTCGATATTTGAAAGGTGTACAATTATACCAGCACATCGAATAATGGATGATTTGAGTAAAGTTCCGCCGCCGCAGTGTGATATTTATATATCTCAAGGTATCGGAAAATTCCAGTCTATAAAGTGCGATGTTATCCAGATGGACAACGTGCACAGTCACCTTCTGGTTTCTTCAAATAAATTCGGGAAATTCATACAATGCGACCTGACTGAAAACCAAGCGTATCAGAATCGATCAAACAACCACAACTTCAAAAATGAGTCAACTTCAAATCGTGTGAATATGTACAAAAAATATAGAAATGAACTTAATATTATACTACAAAGAAAAGCACAAAATTCATCTCTGAAAAGGAGTGCAATATCTGTTAACCCTCTGCAGTACGAAGGACACTCCGCAGACCTTAGTCCCGTTCTATTAACGTCCAATGGAAAATGTTCACGTAAAGATTATGAAATTCAACTAAAGCCAACTATAACCTGCCAACCTCTATCGATATCTCATGCTACGTCTAATAATTGTCCACCCAAACATCGCCACAATAACTCGTTCACCAGCGCAAAAATGAGATATAATCCAAGTTATAGGAAATCACCAGTTGAACGAAAGCAATCTTTTGATCACGAATCAGACGGTGGAACAAAATATTATATTCTATGTCCAACGTGTTTCGGAGATCAGGATAAAGAAAATAGCGATTTTACATCTGACGAGGATGACGAAGAAGGTATGTTAGGATTTTACTAGACGTGTAGGATTATAGTTATGGGCGTAATGTGTATTTTTGTTGTAATATTTTCCTTGATTCTTCAATAGACCCTTACGGATTCTTTCACCATCAAGTTCATACATCTGAAACAAATATCTGGTTACCTATTCCGATACCCGAAATGACTTGTTTTGAATCATTTTTTTTCGGTAATTTTTGTATATAATATTTATTCAAATACCCCTTGCAACGCCGTGAAACCACGCCAAAACGTTGCGTTCTGAGAGCTACACACGCTGCCGGATTGATAATTTCAATAATGTAAGTAAAAATTCTTGCTTAGACTTTTACTTTTATCGGATACATTCATCGCCAAGTGTGTACCTATACTCCAAAGTCATAAGATTTTACCAGGAATGTTTATCCGAGATATCAGAGAGACGTTTTGAATAAGAACAATCATGAAACATATAGCTCACGAGCCTAATGCAATCCAAAAGCATTTGAATCAAAGGCAGCCTTCGGTGAAACAAGTGCGTTACGATAATGAAAAAGATACATACCTAGATCGACGGCAACCTACCGATTCAGATGATGCGACCCCCTAGCCTGGGCTATGCTAATTGTAACCCCCTCTGATACAATGCCGTAACAACTAATCTGTTACGACGTCATCTTAGGGATTTCGAGTTTATGTATCACTATTTTTTTTTCATAAAATAAAGGCAATATTACGTTTGAAACTGTTCGGATAATATAAATTAGGATACTTTGTTCTTGGGGTTAAAGGGGTATCAGTATCAGTAGTTTATTTTTACACATGTCGAGACACATTGTATAAATAGAACGAAAAAAAAAGAAAAAAAGCATTTCAATGTGAAGGGAGTCGCGATAAACCAGTAGGCCTAATGGTGTTCGAGCAGCGTCACCTGTAAGGAAGTCCAACATTAAATTTTAATAAGGAAAAAAAAGTAGAACATAAAATACTAGGACAATACGGAAATAAAATACATTCAGGCGACCCGAATATCCGAGTCTCGTTCATAACGAAGGAAGCAAGTGACTGCATTCACGACAAGCGGGGTAACCACGTTAATCGCCTTTTATTAGATACCGGTAATAAACGGACTAAACGAGTATAGTATTTCAATGTAATACAAACTCATTTATTCGGTCGTATTTAAATTGTCGCAAGGTGGTTTCGTCGAAGAGTGGTTCATGTAATGGCTTAGCGGTTGCGTCTTACTGCGCCAACCACGTTAGCGGACGTATTGAACTACAGCTTGAGAAGGCGTGGACATCGATATTTGTGGCGTTTTGAAGGGTTTGTTGAGAATAATAAGCGCTAAGTTTTTACTTCCATTTTTCTTTAACCTATTCAATCAAATAATTTACAATCAAATACCACATCCATTTTAAACAAAACAGGCAAAAAACAACTTGATTCAAAACAAGTGTTTTAGAACAATTATCTTTGAACAAATCCTTACTGCCACCCCTCCGGGATGCAACAAATTGAACAGGCTATTTGACAGACGTAGAGTTTCCCATATTTCTACAGTAGCTTCTCACATATATATCAGTATATTTCGGTATAGGTGCCACAGAACGGCAATCTGGGCAATTCTCTGTTAATGTGGACTCACCACTCTCTCCGCCATGGCCAGCTCAGCAGATGACTTGATCTGCATTATCTAAAATAAATATTTTTTTATGGCACATGTAGCCGTATTATTGAAATAGCATTAGGCCTATACTGTTAAATTTACTTGGTTGTGTGCAGCGCCAGATTAACCATTAAACAATATAAGCACGTGCTTAGGGCACCAATCAAAGAGGGGCACCACAGAAATTTTAGAGCATAATTTTATATAGTTTATCGGTGTTAATTAAAATATTACGAGTTCACCAGACGACTCAAACTTTAAAATGTTCGCTTATTTTTCGTCTTCGAATATATATCATATTAACTTTCCTTATTAGAAATAAACACTGAAACCTTTTTTTTTGACACGAAATGGGCCTATGAGTCGTTTTCTTAAATAGTTGTTGTTTTTTCTTTCTAGTATTCTCCTTGTTGCTGCATTTTTGTTTCAAAAAATTTCTTTTTCTCTTCAACAATTGGACCATGAAACTATTTACACTATGTGGCGGTTCCACGATCGCATTTCAACGATGATAGTGGTCAGCGAAGTCGGGAGTTTTTTGATAAGGTAGACCAGGGTGGTCCAAACCCTATCAGGCTGATACTCTCCGTGCGGGTCACCGAACAATTTTAGCGTATATTTATATCTAATGGAGGAACGTTTTTGAGTTTTTTTTTAGTTATTCCAACCGGGGTTGGGATCCCGAGACTCAAACCCCTTTTCTAACGCTTTGTGCCTTTATTTTAGTAAAAACACTCCTCTGTTTTTAAGCGTCGGACATGTGACAGTAGAGACGAGACGCAGAGCCGACTTCACGCCGCGCAATCCATTTTTTTTAGCTAGATCCCGAAATACCAACTTAGACGGACTTGGTTGGTATTTGACGATGACACTAAGCTCGCTCACGCTGAAAGTTTTTAAATTACTCAATATATATAACAATTCGTAATAAAATGAGTGTCCCAAGAAAGGTGACATATGGAAAAACACGGCGGAAACGTATTTCCTTGCCTATCACACAGTTTAAGTAATATCTGTCACGAAAGAATATAATTTGAAGCGACATTAAAGGCGAGATGCGCAAAATACAACGGTAATTATCGGGAATTAACTTTAAAATAACTGAAGGCTTCATATATCTTCTTTAAAAGAACGCCACCCATGCAACATAATAATAGTCTGATTAGAACGGTAAACTCTCGTTGTTTATTAAATTTAAGTGAGTAAACTCGCGATATTTCGATCACTTCTGGGTTTTCTCCGACTTGCGGCCGCGATACCTCCTTAAAAGTTTTTGCGGTCCTTCAACCTAGCAACCTTGAACCACCCATAGGTAGACTACTAGGTACCGGTAAAATTTTAAACTACAGTTCAGAATTGTATCCTTTGGTATTTCGATTCACGTTGAGACTGGAGACATGAATCTTTATTGTCACACTCCCCCTGGATTAGAGCTTAACCGATATATCGGCCCGATATTGCGTGTTTGCCGATATATCATATCGGCAGTAAACGGCCTATATATATCGGCTATATATATATAACAATTAAAAAAAAACTAAAATGTTTGTAAAAGTTGTTTTATTTACTGTTGGTTGTGATTATTTTTAATGGATAATACACTTATGTGGTTTTTGTTTTTATAATTAAATTACACATGAGGGGGCACCATATAGTCTTCAGTGCCTAGGACACCAGAGGAGCTTAATCCGCCTCTGAGTATGTGTAACATGTATATATATTGATTGCATGGACCCATCCATACAACTGTATTTTAAAATTCACCGATGTATTATGGGGTGAGATTACGCGTAAATAAATTTGTGAACTAATTAAAAAATCATAGGACACTTTCCCGTATTTAGTGGCTTTTCTATCGCTATCTTTCCTGTCAATTACGATTACAAGCAGACATGCATAATATACATAATTTTTATTGTCTTTATACACACCATGGTAGTGTTTCAACATTCATCATCTATGAATTGAATTTTACCTATTTCACCTCTCAGACTGACTAGGAAATTATATTTAACAAGCAAGACGAAACCTTGGATTGTATGTGCTTTGTGATGTAGCCTAATATATGTAAAACATATATTTGAGTCTGCTCCAATACGATTGTGATATCTGACTCAGTAGCAATCATCAATTCTATTAACTGCCATTACAGGCAGGCTTGCCTGATTTCTTGTCATTATTCTCCTAGTAACGTTGTTGTAACATCTATCATATACCACGGTCACTAACTGTTTTTTTCTTCTTCTTGGATCATTGAATTGACTTTATATCTTTTTTTATCTATGTACCCTTGTTCATCTTATATTTTATTTGAAGTAGCCAGTTTAGGCACGAAGATGAATATTACTTTCATTTTGTTGAATTCCGTATTCCTATTATTCATGTGTCTTCTGATTTCTAGTATGATAACAGGTCCATGTAGTATGTCCTTCCTATCGTGAGGGTAAAATTATTTGTTACTAGTCCGTCCGGATGTGTGTATGCTCAACAAGTGGTAGTTCCTTAAAATCTTGAGGATCAGTTGCACTATAAGTTTATAACCAGGTAAAGTTTTTACGCTGTGATACTTCCCACCTATACAATTACTAATGAGCAACACTTCGATACCAAATATATAAAAATAAAATCAATAAGGTTTTTGTTAAAAAAACAAGCGACTTAAGTAGATTTTCAGTCAACCCAGTTTTGGGTCGCGACCCATAGCTTGGGAAAAGCTGTTCTGACTATATCTCTTTTTTTTCGAGTCGCTCCTTCTACTTACGTTAACATCTCTAAAGCTCAGTCAGTACGAACAAAATTGAATGATTGGCCGCATGCGTAATTTGACTCAGATCTAATTTAATAACTCAAAAGAAAAGAAACTTAACATGAGGGGTTAATTTTGTCTTCTTTACTTGGAAATTGTACGGGGGAGCAACTTCGTATTATTCACTTAGAGTCCAGGGGTCGGCAACCTTTTGTTGCTCGCGCGACAAAATAAGGGTTGCAAGTCATTGGCGGGCCACACATATTTTTAGGAAGTTAAAATCAAACGGATGATACTTTTTATAATAAAAATGAAAAAAAGGATACATTTCTCAAATATAATATATATTTATTTCCTCATTGCGTTGCATTTTCGGCGCCATTGAACCCTTTGCACTTAGCATCAACTTTTCTGCGTTTTGTTGCCATTTGTCTAATAATCATCTAATTATAGGTTCATTAAACGAGTAATTGTGTATTTTATACTTGCTAGATTATAATATAATTTAGTCTGCACTAGGGATGGCGCAATCGACTCCGGATTCGATTCCAGAATCGATTTTTTGTGGAATCGAGTAGAATCGATTCCGGTGCATTGGAATCGATTCCTAGGGTTAAAATTTGAATTGCAAACAATGCATAACGTTTTGTGACAAGTTCTTCGCATATATGTATAAACTGATATGTGGAATTGCTACAACGCCGAAAACTAATTATATTTCTACAATGTCCTTCACGCTCGTTTGCGCAAGTTGAAGGTACATGCCACTTTCAGACCATTTCCGTATATTTTTTCTTATTTATTGCGTTCATTATTCCTATTTACTTGGAGCAAGGGGCATCATGAATAGTAAAAAAAAACTTGTTGCAGTTTGAAGTAGAAAATTTTACACCTCAGAGATGGAACATTCTGCAGTCCAACAGACCAAAATAGCAAAAGAACTCTTCCATAGAAATAATTAAGCATGTATTGAAAATCTGATCAGTGAGGGTATGGCTAGCTCTGAAGTGACTCGCGGTGACATTGATGAATTGACCAGAGAGGTGGAGGCTTCAGCTGAGATATCAAAATATTTGAATGACAGAACTCTTGTCATATCTGCGACCCACAAAAATGTTGCAATGTTGGCAACAAAACAAAAACGAATCCAAACATCGTAGTTGGTATCCAAAACTACCTCTGTATCCCAGCAACATCCGCATTTAGATCAGAGGAGCTTTCCGTATCCAAATTTCGATCGAGCTTACAGGAAGACATGTGAACGAATTGAACTTTTTGCTATGACATAAACTATTTGACACAAAGTGGACATTCGAATCGTTTTGTTATTATATTTTTCGTTAAAATTCATTTTTTTGTTCTTGGTATTAAAAAATATCTTTTATCATTATCTACTGCACCAATTGCTAGGAAATTTGCAGTGGTTCTCAAACCCATACTATTTAGTTTAGGCTTTCGTGTCTATATATTTGAACATCGCTCACTTGTTTGATTTGTTAGTATTGTTTAAGCGGGTATGTTTTCTCGGTAAGTTATGTCAAGGAATCGAGAATCGAAATGGAAAATTTAGGAATCGGATAAGAATCGAATACTTGTAAGTACTCATAGCCTACTTAGCATCTTTGGTCTGCACGCGTCTCACAATGAATTTTGCAACGTGAAAAATATAATCGTCACAACAGCTGTTTTGTTACTATAATTCAGTGAAGCGTCGCGGGCTAGATTATGTTACTCGGCGGGCCAGATCCGGCCCGCGGGCCGTAGGTTGCCGACCCCTGACTTAGACATCGCAACTCTATGGCTTGAATTTTCTGCTATCACGATGACGTATCGTTGCCAAAAATGAGTGATATTGGCATATTATATTTTAGCCTGTTCCTGGTTTGGGTGGTTTCATGAAAGCGTTTTAGAATACTAGCTGTGCTCGCACAAAATGAACCGAAGTAATAATAGGAACGGGCTATATATATATGCCAATCAAACTTACTTCAAAATCTTGTTCACCCTCAAATATACTACTCGAGCAAGCTCAGTCATTACCCATTTCTGACGCATTGAATAATAATATAAAGATAATACAATATATATAAATTATATGTATGTCTATTTCTATCATAATCTTGTTTCACGCTGTTGTTAAATTTATAATGACCTCGATATTTCTACTGAATTTTGAACGTTTTATTTTCACACTGGAGGGAGCGACACAGACGACGAACAAGATGATATAGCATCTGGAGAATTTGAATTCACGCGAGATTGTGACGAAATATCCTTAGAAAATGACAGCACTGGAAGTGATGATTCAGACGAAAACTCTGGGAATAACGGTGGTGAATCTGAAAACAGGTGAATTTCCACTACTTGTATATATAGAAATATATATTATTTCATAGCCGAATAATATATATATTGCATCAAATGTTTTGGAATTCAAGATTGTACTTTGGAATGGAAACTGTACTGAAATAGGAAAATATATATATATATACTTTGAGAGGGTAGAAGCAGAATATTATCGTTAGGTGCTAAACACTTTTTTTCTCCAACTTACGGTCAGCCATTTTTGGAATAAAGTGTTTCAATTTATTTAAAGACTAAAATAATTTCGTAGATCTTGACTGTCGAGGCAACAATTCGTAAGTAGTTTATGTGGAGTTTAACGAGATCATCAATACTGATCTTGTAGCCTATACTATAACTGAAGTTTGCCTAGCCTACTTTCAAATTTACAAAACCAACATGCCACTCGATCTTATAACGTGTTTTTGCGATAGTCAAACAAATACGTCAATAGTCTTATACAATACAGCAAAACTCTAAAGGCCTATTAAACTACGTTGCCTTCCTCATTAAATTTTGAAGGATTATTTGTTAAGGCCTAAGGGCAAGATCGGTTAAAAAATTAATCGCGATTCTCCAATAGAATTAATGATGTCTAACCATCATCAACCTTTGTTTGAAGTCATTTTCTATTAACTTAATAACGCAAATGTAGCCTACTCTCTTCCATTTGCGAATATGATTCTGCTCCGTTTATATTATCGTTAACTTTCTTTACGTTTGTAACAACTACAAAATAAATTTCGATTAAATAACATGGTACTCCCGTAGTATGTGCACTAGGTTCGGGTTATTATGCCATAATTTTATTCCGATTTTCCTTATTTTAGTTCTATTACAAGTTCGGGGGCTGTCTGTTTAGCCAAGTAAATATCTCCCTGCCAATAGGTTTCAGTTCCTTTACACAACTTGTTGTAAAATGGGCGAACAAAGTTAGTTACTTCCATATATTGGTACACATACTTCTGGAGCGCCAATAATAATTTATATAATGCTGAAATGAAGATTCAATATATATAGAGGAAAAAATACAATCAATGGATGTATCAAATACCCAATCTATTAGGACCAAGAAATTTTATTTCTGTTATTTAGAACTACGCTAGTACACATATATTAGGTACATATTAATCATTTATTACATTAATTTCCTTCCGCGAACAGCGTCCAACGTAAATAGGGATTCTTAGAAAATTGACTTAAATTCATCGGAAGGATGAACGCTAGTTGAAGGCGCTTCAGTCTACTCTTTGCTAAAAGGAGCAATGATTAAACGAAAAACATCACAGAACTATGTTTTAATGGGGAATAATGCAATTATGTTATTATTTAATTATATCATATCGGAATTTGAAGAAGCGGTATAAGGACATCTTTGTAAAACTTCGTACATTTACCCTTTAGAGAAACCATTGAGACCAATAAAACTGCAGCCTTTATGAAGCACTCTCTGATTGCTACGAATTGGGAAAATCCGTAAAATAGAATATAAACTAAGAGACACTTTTGGTCGATATTGTGACAACACCACTGCGCAGTGCGATCGCCACATGCTATCTGAATTATTATTATTTTTTTAATAAAACCAAGTTTTCTAGATTGCTTAGATATTGTAAAACTCACATCATAGTGTTGGAGAATTACGAAATTTTAACGCAACAAAAATATCCGTGGGGCAGAGATCTGAAGGAGCAAATGTATGTGCATGAAAACACATACGAGTAGGCCTAGGCCCTATAGCCTACATATATATCTATGGGTGTAGATGTCCATGTAAGCAAATATCCATGGGTGCAAATGTACGTAGGTACAATTTGTAAATAGACAAGTACTGAATTTCGTTTCCTGGACAATTTAGACCATGCAAATATTTGATTTTATAATTCAGCTCCTTATACGAACATGAAATAATGATACAAGAATTGGATACATTAGACATGGGATGTATGGAAGATGAAGACGATTTCAGTTTTGATCAACACGGAAGTATAAATTTCCGAGTAAATGACTGCGGCACTGATTCAGATGAATATATTGCAGGTACCGACTTGGAAATCATATATATTCAAACTATTACTGAATACGAATACATTTGGAACAGGTCGTAGAGCTTATTGCGCAGAATAAAATATTGAAAGAGAACTAGAGGAAAAATCAATACCAAGTCATAAATTCATATACCTTTTCTAAAAATCACCGCATAACTGTATTCTCGTGCACCAATATATCAACATTCAACATTTAGAAAGTCAATAAAAGTACTGCTGTGGCCCACTGATGCATTTATCCCTATAGAATGAACATACGCACATTGGCAAACATATAAATTGATTCAACTGTACCCACGATTTCGAACTCCATTAAACGGCCTTAATTTTATCTAACAACTTACGGTAAGTGAAAATCAATGAACAGTTTCAAATGCTACCTATTTCTTCACATCTCATCGTAAAGTCCAGCTCTCCAACTAATAGATAGCCAAAAATAAAAATTTGTATACATCTAATCACTACATTTCATATAAGAGCGAATATGGAGAGTATGGTCGCAGTATTTCGTTGTCACAAATACGGATAACAACGATTCAAATCGCTCATCAATCCGAATTGTAATTTATGTGAAAGCAACGGTTACCTTTCATAAAAAAAAGATTACCAACTCAACCACGTTGCTTTATAAATAATGTTATATAATAAATTGCAAACCTTTATATCTCATTCTCAGATACAGATGAAGACCCATATTCATACCACAGAGGAGATGATCTTGATATCGTGTACCGATGTAATCCTATGGATGACTTTTGATCTACTATCAGATTATTGAACTATTATTGTCGCTTATATGCTCGAGAAACACGCGGAGTTTGAAGTGATGACACGAATACGAGTAACAACTTTAATCAGAAAATATTTCGAGAGTTCCAGTGTTTGTGCATAGGAATTGATCAAAAAATGTGAAGAAAAAATTTAGAGACAATATTTTGAACATAGAGCACTTCATATTGAGATAGAAAATATAAACAGATGTGAATGGGGCGATCACGAGGCATGATACGGTAAAAAATCCAAAAGAGATGAATTCCGACATTGCAAAATGTGTCAATTACTCATAGACCAACTCACAACTCTTTTGCATAATTCAAACTTCTTATATACATGCACTAAACATTCGTAAAATCTCGAAAAAAATCTGTATTCCCAAAACGGTTTGCTATAAAAACATTTTGCGATCACATCTGAAGTTAAACTGGTAATAAAACAACTGGAAGGAAGTGAAATATAACAATTCCTCCACCACTGTCTGCTAATATATATAATTCATTCATGAAGAATAGAGACAAACTTGTCCTGTTATGTCAACGTCACATGTCTGATTCATTCAAGACTGCTTTCACCATCCAATATCAGAAAACCCGTTCAACTATCTTTGTTTCCTGGTTCTATCAGTTTATCTCTTTTCACTAAGCCTATTAATTTTTTCAGGAAGCTCATTAATTTATTGACAAAACTTTCTGCTTTTGGTTCATCAGAATCGAAAGCCTGATATCTCCTGTAATAAATAGGAATGGTGGCATGTAAATAAGTCATATTTAGGTATGGATTGTGAATAAAAGCAGGAAAAAATCGTAGGATTCAAGGCTTCCATCCAGTTCGAAAGTTTAAACAAAGTGATATAACAAGCACTTTAAAAGAAGTGAAGAACATGAAACTATAAAAGAAAACATGAAAGGAAATTCTGTTCATGGGGAGATAAATCCCCAGTCGCAAGAAATCTAGACACTTGTTCACACCAAGCAACCAAACAAAATAAATTGGGAGTCCTGATCTAGAGTTCCACATTAAACCCATCTCCATCAAAGGTCACGATAAGTAGCTTACACAATACCAGCAAATGATATCATTTAAATTCGAAACCTCACCTTGTAGTTAAATTGTGCAGAGATCCAAACGCAATTGCAAGCACTGTGCATGCGAGACAAATTACATTGTAAGGCATTGAAAAATCTGGAACCGGCACAAAAACCTGTAGTGCTTCAGAATAAATATGATGAACATTGTCAGATCCCATTATCTCAATGTCTTTTTCTCTCACTGACACAACAGTAGAACTGAAATCCAACGCATTTTATTAAAAAAGTACCAAATGGTAGATGGCATTTATAAAATGATTCTTTGAACAGTTGAAAAACATCTTGTGGTGGTTTGTATCATTTCAATCTGTATGTTTTGCAGGTTTAAACTTGTTCGTCTATAAATTGTGTGCTGGAATTTTCGAAGTTATGTCACTAGACCAGAGAATCAAAAAGTTTGAATTTTAAACTACACACTGAGTCGAACTTTTCACCAGTTTCTTGCAATACACAGTATTGAGTGAGTTGTTGTTTTTATTTAAAATACACCTGCACAATCACAGTGACAGATGCAAATAAAAAGCTACATTTACTGACAAATTTCCCAATCCCCTTGTTCGTAAGCAATCTTGCGTCTTTACATAATATAGCTCAAGAAAGACCGACTTTTGTCTATATATGAAATCACATAGTCTCATAGAGAATAAATTCATCATATATGATTGTAATGTAGTTGAAGATTGAGATAGTTCAACCATTTACAACGTGCTCTTGACACAAGGTTCATGGATGGAAATCGAAATTTAAAAAATAATTGAAATTATCAAAAAATTACCCAATATAAAATCCATGATTAGCATCAGGTGGGTGTTCTGTCCATGTTAAAAAGCCTCTATTAAACTGCAATGCTATCTTGATTGTTGAGGAAGGAGATATATTCAACATGTATTCAAGAAAATGAGGTGATTGACGAATTTTTGCAGGGCGAAATGTCACCCGTTCTGAATAAAATATTTATTAATTCAAAGACTTTGAACACTGAACAGTCAAGGTCAGTATGGGCAATAAAGATGACATACAGAGTGCAGAAACTGTTGAATAAAATAAACCGTTCGAGAGCTTTATCAGCAACAATCCTAATTATTATCTTACATTGTCATGCTAGTACATACATGTTAGTTGATCTAATTGAACAGCTTAGTCTAATAACATTTTATACCGTAGATATATTTATTCTAAACCAGAACATAATAATGATTATGACATCTGCCAAGCCAGTGACCAAGTGATTTGCTTTGCCTCAGACTGTTCAGAAAAAACCAGTACTTGGCAGCAAAATCTTTCCATCTTGATCTGTAATTTGTAGAGTGTGAAGATAAACTTGCAAAAACCAGGGAACAGTTTGCATAACTAGGACAGATATGTTTCTCGCTGCTGAATTCGACAACCTGCATCTCACTCCACCTTCCTGTTGTCCAATACCAGCAAGATGACAATGAACGACAAGGATGGGGGTTGTTTTTTCATCTAAATAGAAAAATTATAAGACAATAAATAGTATTTCGACCAATATTCAGAACATTTAAAACTAGGTCAAACAAGAAAGACTTCTTAAAAAGTAAAAAAGATAATGTATGGAGATACCTTTCATTATGACAGTCTGGAACTCGGGCCACATGCAGTATTTATGAAATGAATATAAATATATGACACATAACATTGCTTCATACATTCTCAAACATAAAATTTGATGCATAAATGTTGGTCAAATTTGAAAAAGTACACAATTCTCAACTAAATTAACGAGCAAACGGTTTGGCAGTCGACTGTCAAAATAGCTTCGAATTACCGTAAATTCAAAGTTTCAGGAAAATAGTTACCAACAACTTTCCTCACCTCCGTCAAAATTATTGTTCCACTGCACCTGTATATCACGGAGTGCTTTAAGATCAAATAAATTATACACAGAAAAACCATTTTCTTTTATACTTGGCCTTGGATGAAGTGAAACATGCTAAAACAGAATGTAACAAAGATGAGCTACTGCTTCCTTATCAGGTTCATGAGTACTATTAATAATAATTAGAATAGCATCTAGAGTCCATAAATTTTGACAACTATTGGCGATTAACTCTCTATCAAAGAATAAGAACATTCATTCAGTGGGTGAACCAGCAGTGCCACTACTGTGACATGATAACGATTTAGGAGCTAGCTTAGTGACCTTAGTCATAATGGAGATGTATAAAGTACAAGTGAAAAAGTAGTTGATATAGCTGATTGTGGATAAGTTGCTTTCTGCAAATTTTTTCTCTTAAATTCAGTTTAATTCAAAATTTTCTGAAGTGTTAATAATTAGGCATGAGTGATTTAATCTATTTTTTTTTTCTAAATACAATTTTGAATTATGTATTGTGATTATACAGCCTTGTTGATATGAATATACTATAATAAACAACTTAATCAATCAACATACATTCTTTCAGTTTCAATGCAACCCTTTTTTTGGTAAGCACTATGAAATTGTAAAAAAAGTATTACAGCGCCTTGACAAACAGCTAAGAAGCACCAGTTTTAAAAAAGAAACATTGGTTGATAGAGCGATGTAATTTGACTCAAATTACTCTAATTTAATCGATTTGTTAGAATTATTGAATAAATAGCGATCTCACTTAACTTGATAACTTGCAGTAATCAATAATTTGATTATCACCATATTGAAAATAGGCACAAGACATACAAATTGCAATAAACTATAAGCAAACCGAATTTCAGGGTGGAGGGAGACGCGAAAACCAATACCGGGTATCGAGCAGCAGCGCCCATGCAGCAGAGTCTTAATTTAGCTAGAGAAAAGCATCAACAAGATTCCATACCTCTGGTACTGAAAGTCTTATGTCGCTTCTATGAGCCAGAGGACAAGGTCCTTTAATCTTTTTGTTCAATATAGTAGAAACACTAAAACCTAAAAAGAATAATGCAATTTAATATCTGGAAAATTGCCCACTGCTACAGCCCATAATTAAATTTATCACCTGGTTTTTCACTGGTGGATTTTCTCAAGTCAAACATAGTGGATACCGATTGATGAAGCTGAATAGCAGGATTGTCACAATTCTTCTAAAAATTAGATATTAATGTTTACAAAAGAAGTATCATCATCAGGTAGTAAACAAAAATTAAATTGTCAAAGTATCCTAGAATAAAGACATTCTGTTTTGACTAAACTATTATTCTGAATAATTCCCAAAAATTTCTTTATTTCATATAAAATTTTGCAGAAGTTCAAAGGAGGGCAAAAATAGGATTTATATTTAGCCTGAAAAATGGATATATAATTCAAAGTTCGGACTTCAGCATCTCAACATGTTACAAGACAATATTTATTGTATTATAAATTGTTGATGGCATGGTAGACTAGTGTATAATTAGTAGAAATTAGATATGCTCTTGTACACCACTTACTTGAATCTTACCTTAAAAACTAATACATCTGTGCCAACAAACATGCTGATGAACAAACGAAAGACCTAACATTATGTTAAACTTGGATGATATGAACACTGGACATACCGGGTATGATAAAATACATAAATTATGTTTCACATTGCTAATTGCTGAATATTTCCGAATACTAATGATATATAGAGCATTTTAATGTGATACAAGGAAATGGTTGAATTTTTCGCATGTGCCTTGTGAAGGAAAACAATTGGCTCTAATCACTATACATTGTATCTAAATTACATGTTTCATAGTCCCTAAGCAAATCTTTATATCATATCATTTTGAATCTAAATAATCTAGGATTCATATCTTTCAATTCTGTATGTGAAATTCTTCACAGCTGAAACCTATGAAGTGAATCATTTGATAATTGGGGCCAAAATTATTCATCCACATTATGGATAAACCATATCAACTGTACTAAGCTAAAGCTAGCCAATCTGAACAAACTATGACATAAGCTTAAGTTCATGACCAACTTTAAAAACTTGTCATCGCTACGTAAGCTTATTTTCATTTAGAAATATTTATCAAGGTAGTATATATCTACGAAGTCTTCTTAGCCCAGACTTTATTTCAGGCCTGGGGAGCCAAAAGCCTGAAGCCCTAACCTTTTGGTAGAGATGGAGATGGATCCGTAACCAGAGCTACCAGAAATTTAAGTGGCTCCAGTTTCTAAACATCTAATTATTTTTTCTATGCTAAAATTGTTTCTTGAATTTATCATAAAATTAATTTAAAGTTTCAAGCTGAATTTGAATATTCAAAATTTATATTTTGAAATTTGAAACCCACAGATTTCAGTTCAGCCTCCGCAAAAATGAATTTGGGCCAACGTTTAATAATGAGGTAAAGGATTTAGCTCCCGAACTAGAGCCATAATTTGATATCACCGTAGCTCCAGAACTGTATGCATTGAGGGTTTCAAATCAGATCCCCAGCCCTTCTTCATATCCAGCATGTTGTCTGATAACTGAACATATCATTTAACTTGAAAAAACATGATCACATGATCAAAATGCATTCATACCTCAAAGCATTTCTGCTTATAATTCAAACCAAGAGACAAATATTGACTGTGATGAAGAGCAGCAGGATTTAACAAACTGGATATTCCTGACTGTAACATAAATAGAAACATGAATGAAAGATATTACAAACACTATTCCTAAAGATATAATGAGTTTAAGGTAGGAAGACCAACAAACTCACATTTGAACCACAAGGTAACATCTTAAGCCATGGAGTCAAGTTTTCTGTGCATAAAGTTTCTCGTGAAAGTACAGCATATCGCAACAACGAAGAGGAAGCATCTGTAAAATTGATAACAAATTGTTCAATTATCCCCATGATGCCACATGTCCAATGATGCAAAAATGATATTTAATTTGGAAAGTTGCTCAACTCTATGATCTGCTAGGGATGGACGAGTCCGGCATTACAGGGATTCGACGAATCCGAATAATAGGTTAAAGATTCGAATCGAATCCTTCGAGTCCGTGACGTCACAATGTAAAAGCAGCAAAACACGTTTTTGACCATGCTACTGCATCGTGCGCTCACAAACATACGCCGAAGCTCATATTTTTGCCTAATGGTTCCGCAGATAGCTGTTGAATCATTTTAAAAATATATTTTTCCTCTGTTTTGACGGCCATAATACAATCGTAATCGTGGGTCAATGTGCGCCTTGCCTGTGAACTGAATTTCCAGCCCACCACCTTGCGTCAATTCTGGGCGGCTATTCAGAAATTCTTACATATCAGTATGAAAGACAAAAAGTATTTGACTACAATGCTTTCCCATAATTCCCATTTTTTCTGGGACGGCTGTTGTTTTTTTCATTAGAGATTATCCACTGAGGCAAAGAGTCTTTACTGAAGTGCCAATGAGCACCAGAAGAAGTGTTATAAGGAAGTTTTCAAAACAACATTTTTACAAACAGAAAAAATTTCACATATAAACATCTAGAACAATTTTATGATTGGTAGGCATGCGATCTATATACAATGAAATGAAACAATAGCATAGGAACCTAATGTTGCTACAAAGTACAAATCCTTTACTCAACATACAAGTTATAGCGGCTCATATAGATTATACTCAGTATTAGAGTTGTACCGATGTATCGGTATCGGGTATCGGCAATATCGGTCATTTTTTGGTATCGGCCATGTATCGGTATCGGTTAGATTAAGGCCAATATTTCCGATATATTTACCTTTTTGATTTGGTCCAGAATGTTTTAAAAGATAAGTTGGAATACTACTTTTCGATTTATTTTTTGTCTGGAGAGATCGTGAGCTATGAGCCATACATGTCCCCACCCCCGCGAGGGAATAGGATTCACCTGTTTTTAGCTATTCATCAGCCAAACTAGCTCAACTAATTTGGCTATTTTTGCTGTCAAATTTTTATATTGACATTTTTGATATTACATAGTAATTATGGAAAAATATATCAACACAGCACATAACAAAAAGCAAGTAGGCGCCCAGTTTTAAATCTTACAGTGGAATTGGGGTCCTGAATAACGGCACATGCACTTTTGGCACGGATATAAATTCTGACTGTTTGTCGTCAATTACGACTATCATTTATTATCATTTTAGTCCGTCGACATCGATAAACTAAATTCCGACACAATTATCAGTCTACGCAGGTATTAATTTTAATTTTGTTTAATTACACAATTTCTTTATAGATATTTTGACATGACCGCCTAGAGTTAGACTAGATTGTCTCAAAATATATGATAGCAATTGTGAAATATTATAAAATAGTAAAGTAAAAAAACCTCCTCGACGGTTATGGGTAGGCCTTCTTCTTGTCGGTGCTGATTGATATTCTTTCATGTTGGCTTTGTTTTATTGCGGCGATGATTACGATTAACCACAAAATAAAATATTTGTAAAATGCTTTTAATTTGAACGTAGGACGGTGGCGCTAGAATGTGTGGGCGATATTCTTTTAAACATAAATAACGATATTCGAAGTCGCGATATTAACAATAAATTCGAATTGAACATCCCGGCTCAAGATTTTTCTAATTGAACACCGAGATTACCAACGTGTATCTTAATCAGTTAAAGCCTCTGGATGCCAAACATCAATTTCATATTATGTGATAGATCTCTTTTTCGATCTGAAATAATGTGTGCTATGAACAACGCTCAAAGACCATTGTTTTAACCCCTCTGCCCGACACAGCACACCTAATTAATAAATAATTACATAGTATCGGTATCGGAATATCGGTAGTATCGGGCTTTTTGTAGTATCAGCGTATCGGTATCAGCGTTTTTAGCTGGTATCGGATCGGTATCGGCGAAAAAAGTGGTATCGGTACATCTCTACTCAGTATACCCCATCCCCCTATGAAATATATTATCCAGCAAATCGAACTATGACAAATCTTATAATTACAGTAAAAAGGCCACTTTCATTCATGAAAATGAATCCAAACAATACCAAATGTTGGTTCAACCTTCCACTTAACTCATTACACTTAGTATTGGTAAAAAAATATCTAAAAATATTAAAAAAGGGGTAGCCTATTGGAAAAACATTACTCTGAAACAAGACATTTCTTGCAAATTACCATATTTACCTTGTATAGCACCTTGTGGTCGAAACGACAATGTTGGTGTTACTGTTTCTGTTTTGCCAATGAAATTGAGAGAAGCGCACAATAATCCTGACAAAGCATTTGTGAATCCTTTCCAAGAAGCCTCAACACTGAAAAGCACACTAATGATAATTCAATTAAATCCAAATAATATCTTTCCAAATATAAATGGTCTATAATAAATTTAAACGTTTGCTAAATAGCTGAAATGACATTTAAGTCTCAGGAGTTACATATTGTAACTTACGAATCTACGATGCATACATACCTTTCAATTTCGGGTTGAAACCATACCCAGAGTTGGGCACCAGGGGGTGCTGGATAATAAGGATGCCCCCATCTTTCGTATCTCCAAAGACCTTGTGTCATGGACAAGTGAAACTCTGCAATCCCATATTTTCGAACAAGTTCACCGATAACTCGTGGAAAGAGACTGTAATGGTGATCTGCAGATATAGTAAAATAAATTCTGATTCAAACATTTTCCTACAATATTGAATTCAGAAATAGTATAGAACAGATTTAGAGGTGGATGAAATGCCATGGAAGATCATATATTGGCTATTGGCGACTTCAACAACATATGACAATACGATATATCAAAGTTATTATAAAGTCGCATGTGCAGCATAGGTATGAAAAGTTCAAAACAATCACTTAAGACTTTTCATTTAGCCATAACATAATACCAAATTTAAAAATGCTCACTTTTTAAGGATTTTAAATCTTCTGAAACAGTAGAAAAATTGAACACGACATATAATTGATCATCATTAGGTGGCTTTAATACTAAAGTTTCTTCATATAAATCAGATGCTTCACCGAAATTGAATAGACATGTTACACCTAAAATATACCATATCGATCGGAGCATCACTACAGCCGATCTCAGGTTTGCATTATATAACTGCCTGAACTTGATACAAAACGAAAATATAAACCACATAACATGTCTGATTTTAGTACCAATCAGTCTCAACCACAAGTTGGGATCATATCAGAATAATTTCATGTAAACCTGAAACGTTCAGATATAATATTAAAATGTTGATTCTTCGCATACGCTTTTGTTAATAGTTCATGTGGAGTCAAACATGAAAAAGTTACTTGTGGCTACATTACATATAAGCAATTCAGAATATTTCAGTCAAAATAATATTGTCAAAATTTTGAAATTCAATTAATCTGGGACATCTCCCGTCTGGCATCAAACAATACAATTTTATTTACGGTAAATACAAAGACACTGACTGATACATTTACAATTTTTCCTTTTACAAATTTTATTCTAGCACTGTAGTGAAAGATTTCTTACTATTTCCTAGCTGAATAACTGTGAATAAAATGGAATGGGAATTAGGCAATTTAGGAATTCTAGAATAGTGAAGTTTTCACTATTTCCCATCCCTGTTTATAGCTTAGCAAAAATAATTAAATGACACCATACACATTCTTGAAAACATGCAACACTTGCAAAATTAAATGTTGAAAAGGCCACATATCTGAACGTTCCACTTCCAAGCACGGCTTTGAAAGAAAGTATACAATGAAACATGTCAAAAACAATGATTCATATAACTATACTTAAACTACATGAGATTATCGCAAGCCTATGGATTCGAAGATAATTATGATAATTCAAATTTCAAAATGATCTGAATAAATGCAAAAAGAAAATCACCAATTTAAGCATTATTGAAATGATAAACAAATGGGGTAGTTATATAAAATATATAAACATAACAAGTAATAAGTATTCAAAAACCAAGTATTACAGTTATTACATTTCAAAACAGTCGAAGAATGACCCGAAATAACTAAAATATAACATTGGAAACTGAATACTTGCACGTTAACAAGTTATGAGAACTGCCATTGATCCCAAAATCGAGAACCACTGCTTTACACAAGCATTATTATTATACTGTACATGTAACATCAGTTAATTGAAAACTGGACCACAGATTTCAGACTACAAGGCATTTTTAACTACCGGTACCTCCTTCACATGAATATCTGTTATGTTTTATTGTTATACTTCACACCAAGGATCGCTATTTAGTATGGAAATATAGATTCCGATTCTGTATAAAAAATACAAACAATTAATTTTAAAACTATAATACTCATCAACAACAACTGTTAAATAAAGCAACAATATTTTTCATTGACCCACCAGCGATTTTATAAGACCATATCATCATTGAAAAGGCAATAACATAAGAAAACACTGTGGAAATAAGATACAGAGATCCCCTTGTATTCAGTAACGTAAGACCTGACAAAAGTAAATGTGTTGAAATTACAGACAACATGGACATATATTTTTTCTTTTGCATTCCATCAAAAAACACGACAGTCCAGAATGTATTAAGCAGTATGAAGGCGTTTGTCAAAAATGCTGAGACCAGAAAAAAGCTGGCTGCATTCCCTTGGATTCCAACATTTCCTGGGCCATGGGATTGTGAAAGAAGATTTAGAATTGAAAAGCATCCACTCATAAGCCCAAATCCGAGTCCAATTACATATGGAAGTTTGTATTTTTCTATGGATATTCGTTCCTCCTCACTGAGTACATGCTGCAATCCGGATTCAGCTTTCTTCATAATTTTGCAGATGGCAAAACGAAAAACTTCTTGCAAGATGACACTTACGAAGAGCCCAAATGCGAGATCATCCTTCAATGGCACAACTGCAAGCCAAACAAGCGATGATACGAATAATGAAAGTAACCAAAAAAATGCTCCCACGACCAGCAATATAATCCGAAGTGGGAATCTGACAATTGTAAACAGGATCATAGCTGTGACAGGACTAAACGCAATAAAAAGACAACCAGTAAATACCATGGCTGTCATTTTTCAGTTTAAGTTTAGTGAATATTCCTATCTGAAAAAATGAAATATACAACATTTATACGAATTTAATGCACAAGTTTAATACGTGTACCATCTGAAAATCCATGTCATCAAAAGCATTTTAGGGTCTGTTATACAGTGTGGCTCCGTATTACTGCATAGCACCATTTCTCCGTGGCCCGGCCTCAATTTCTCTGTGGCCCGGCCCCAATTTCTCCGTGGCCTGGCCCCAATTTCTCCGTGGCCTGGCCCCATGGCCCCAAAAAAGTGACCACTCCCTCTCCTGTTATAGGCGCCATTTCCGACACACAATTTGTTGTTCAATTTGATAAAATGTTTTACGTTAATATATACATATTTATTATAGGCATCGCTTCTTTCATATGTGCAAATTCATTTGAGAACAAATGAAACTCAAAACCCCATTACAGTATTAATAAACTGCAGCCAAGACAAAAATCAAATTTCAGAGTTACCTGATTTTATCCTACCCTACAGCCCTATGCCATTGCCCCTCTGATTACCATGTATGGGTTCGCAGGTTCGAATCCTATGCGTGATTAAATATGTGCGAGCATATTGCTGGACTTCTCGTTGCCGTTGGAGGTTCATGTAACCGCTGCCAGGTTACCGCCTTACTGGTACGGCTTGATGGTACGTGATTACCCTGCGTGGATTCGCAGGTCTGCAGGTTTGAATCCCATGCAGGGATAGTTATGTCTGTATGTGCGAGAGGATTGCTAGACTCCTCACCAGGACTGTCACTTTTGTCTGACCAAAAACATCTAAAATCATCTAGATTGTAAAACAAAACCTCCAAAAAATATATCTAAATATGAAGTTTAATAAAAATAAACAAAACAAAAAGGAAAATAGGTCATTATAATTTATATTACATCACAGTAGATATCGAAGATCATTTGAAGTTAATGCTTCAGAGGGATTTTTATACGTTTCTGCTGTACATATTTTCCAAAAACCGAAACAGGTTACTTAAACAATCGTAGGACAGTAAGACGCGCATCATTATTTATTTTGAATTGGGTTAAAATATTAAATATAGAAGGCCCATTCAGCTATTGCATTCAGTAAATCTGTCTTCTGGTCTTCCTGTTTTTTGTACTAAAGGAGGTGGAGGAAGCCGTAACCTACCAGCGGTTACTGGGTTATGTGAACCACTTACCACCATACGGCTGCGAGGAGTCCAGCAATCCTCTCGCACATAATCATCCCCGCATAGGATTCGAACCCACGCAAGGTAATCAGAGATGGTAGCAAGCGTATTCCTAACGCTCAGCACGATGCGCCACACCGCTGAGCCAGCGCCATATCCCTGTATCCAGCTACATACGCTACATTCAGACAATGTTGTTTCTGTGTTATTATTCCACTTTCAGACTTTACTAGATTGAAGTTTTGTAGACTAGACTACTGTCAGACTGTAGCTGACTTTTTGCTGCTTTGCATCGCCGATAACTGGATAATGTTTTAGGAATAGCTGTGTTTTATGACAGCTGACAGAATGAATGTCGTATGTCTGTAAGTTGCTGACAGAAAACAAAGACAAGCTTTTAAAAACTGTCAAATTTTCAGGTACTGTCTGACTGTAGTCTCTGTTTCAGCTGTTTATGTGAACTACTGAAGATACAAATTTGGCATAGCCTACGGTCAGACAGTGAACTTTATACCGTACTGCCGTACAGTTACTGAGTTAGGCTATCGCTCTCTCCAGTTTTGTGATTAAAAATTCCTTTGGATTTCATATCAGGCATATAATTTAATTTTTATCAACCTTACATCTAATTATAAAAATTATTCGTTTAACAATTACGGCACCGTATACCGTACAAATCGCTTTTTTATTTCCCACTTGTTATATGTATAGTAGTAGTAGTAGGCTAGTTATACTGTTATAGGTGAGTAAACACGTACCGGTACCGGTACCACTTCCTCTTGGCAAAACCTTCCATCTTATATTTTGTACGTTATAAACCTTATCTAAGATTTTGTTTGCTCCCCTGATTTCATAATCAGTTTTTATCTGTCAAATGTATTGTTATGCTGATTATGGAGTCGAAATAAACTTATATACTTATACTTATATGTAGAACGTTGTTCTAGCTATAAATAAAAAACATCTAAGGTACAGTGGTGGTGTCAGCCCCAACGGCCGGCAACCAACTTGCCTAATGTTAAACAAGTTCATGGACGCCATCTTGTGCCATATTTGGGAACGCGAAACAATGGAATCTTATGGAAAATTTTCGTCGTGTTGTTGTACCGAATGGAATAGGTCCGCTGTTATAAGAACTAGAATGAAACCGAATGGTGGATTTTGACCTTTAAGATATATGCTATCTATATATATAACGCAATTAGGAATAAAAAACTATCTAATGCGGTAAATTTGGCCCCAAACACAGCGTAGAACCATTTTTGATCATTTATTTGAAGATTTTATAGTAATACGCCAATTTGAGGCTGTAAAATGTCTCCGCAACAATCCTTACAATGTCATTTGTTCTTCTAGCGCAGCTTGGAGCTGAGTAGTAGGGCATTATGGAGCTTGACAGACGAAAAATGTTAACCAGAAAATAGAAACCGCCATTGAAACAAAGTTGGGTCGGCCGGTAATTTCGACGAATAAATTCAACTTTTCATCTGTGACGTCATAAGGGACGCCATTGTCAAATGGTTAATTATGACGATTAAAATGGCCAATTTACTTCGGAAGCAACTCGGAACCGGTATACTTGTCTTCAAAGACAATTTAATGCAGGACTTCTACCATGTGATACCATAAATGTGATTTCACTGACTGTTGTTAGGTTTTGTTTGTTCGCTTATATAAAACTCATTGCAAAAAAGGTATTATATTGAAATGTATCAATACGTACGGTATGTTTCACGGGAAGTCGCAACTTGAGCATATTCCTGGAGGGTGTCACAATACAATGAAGTTCGAAAACCACTGAGTCCTAGTCGATAGAAAGCAATCTACTTTTTAAATGGTCAATAATCTATATGTAGCAGCTATTTTAAATGAAAACGTGCTATTAAATTGGTATCATATTTAATCATATTATTTATATATTTCGGTATTCATATTTTGTATATTAAAAAAATCTCGTTATTCTCTACATCCCCCAAAATGAGCCCCAGTGTTCGAAAGAAAATTGAAGACAATGTCTTATTATCGGGAAAACACGGTATGCTGATGTATATTCACTCGGAATCGTGAAATTATCGTTTTACACTATTTTCAATAATTGTATTTCAAATCAAGAGTGAAAAAGTGCAATAGATACAGTACTTTGTGTAAAATTGGTGTTCTCTTCGCGGCCCCTAGAATTCGTTTCGCGGCCCCTTCTAGGGCCGCGGCCCTTAGTTTGGGAAGCCCTGATTTAATGTACTATAAATGTAATTTGGCCATCATGAAAGAATATAAGCGTGTACGGCTAAGATTCTACTTCAAAACGCGACCTTCAAAATTTTCTACCTAAATTATTAGTGAAAATGATAGGTATGTTTCAATAATTGTGTTGGAACTTCTTATAAGGCGCCGTGTTAAATTGCCTAGAACAATAGGTACAAGATGGCGTCCATTGTCTGAACGTTTCCTCCATTGAGGTGTATATACACCTCCATGGTTGCCTCGCTTATATTATATAAACGCTTTGGTCAGCCCCAACGGCCGGCAACCAACTTGCCTAATGTTAAACAAGTTCATGGACGCCATCATGTGCAATTTTTGGGAAACGCGAAACAATGGAGTCTTATGGGAAATTTTCGTCGTGTTGTTGTACCAAATCGAATAAGTCCGCTGTTATAAGGGCTAGAATGAAACTGAAGGGTGGATTTTTAACTTTAAGATATATGCTATCTAAATATATAACGCATTTAAAAATAAAAAACTATCTAATGCGTTAAATTCGACCACAAACACAGCGTAGAACCATTTTGGTCATTTTTTTAAAGATTTTATAGTGATACGCCAATTTGTTGGCTGTAAAATGTCTCCGCAACAATCCTACAATGTCATTTGTTATTCTAGCGCAGCTTGGAGCTGAGCAGTAGGGCATTATGGAGCTTGACAGACGAATAATGTTAAACAGAAAATAGAAACCTCCATTGAAGCAAAGTTGGGTCGGCCGGTAATTTCGACGAATAAATACAACTTTTAATCTGTGACGTCATAAGGAAGGCTATTGCCAAATGCTTAATTATGACGATTAGAATGGCCAATTTATCTCGGAAGCAACTCGGAACCGGTATACTTGTCTTCAAAGACAATTTAATGTACTATAAATGTAATTTGGCCAACATGAAAGGTTATAAGCATGTACGGCTAAGATTCTACTTCAAAACGCGACCTCCAAAATTTTTCTACTTAAAATATTAGTGAAAATAATAGGTATGTTTCAATAATTGTGTTGGAACTTCTTACAAGGCGCTGTTTTAAATTGCCGAGAACAATAGGCACAATATGGCGTCCATTGTCTGAACGTTGCCTCGCTTATATTATAAATACTATTTGGTCAGCCTCTGCTCCTTGCTGCCTTAGGGTGGTAGGCGTACAGTCGGGCAAGAACAGTGGGGGCAGGAAAGCCTAAAGGCCTCAAACCTCGAGGGCCTTGACAATCGATTTTGAACTACCGTGTTTCCCCGAAAATAGGACCTACCCTAAAATAAGACCTAACCTGAATTTTAAAAATGATCTTAATATAAGCCCTCCCCTATAAATAGGACCTAGTCATTTTTTGACCCAGTCCCACTCGATAGCAAGAACACACGCTTTAAATGATTGTTATAATCGTAAATATATACTACGATATAATCCATGCTTTGCAGTTATTTCTAATAAAAATGTGTTATTTATAAGTAAATGATTATCGGTTTTCATATTTTTGTAAATTTTAAAATTCGTAATTCTCTACTTGATAATCTTGTTTTTGATAAATGAAGATATAATACATCCCCTGAAAATAAGCCCTAGTTCTATTTTTCGAAAGAAAATTGAAATAAGACCCAGTCACATTTTCGAGGAAAC